GGGGAGAATATGCGAAAATTCGTATTCTTGCGATAAATGACCTTGCCATCTTTTGTTTGAACTTGGCCATTTCTTTACTAAGATGCATTAGTGAAGTGCTTAAATTTTATTATTCTCTTAATACCACTATATTTAACTTATATTTACCAATAGGGGATAGAGCAAATAATTTTCACACTACTAGTGTATCTTAATCTATTGTAGCTATGATCTATCTTATTTTCAGTTTACTAATTTTATATTTGATTAAAATTACATGCAATTTTCAATCAAATACATCAGTACCATCAATAGAAAACATAAAAATAATAACAACGATATAAGAACCAGAAAATAGATCATAAAATGCAATAACAATAACAAGTAAATAAGGCCATATACTATGGAAAACGGAAGAAAATTCAAAGTAACTAAGAAATCGCAATTCAAACCACAGTATCATGAGTTTGAGTAAATACTATTGTTCAATCAAAAAATATCTTATTACTACTTTATTAACTAGGTGAGAACAAGATGCTAATTAAAGTCAATATCGAGTCATTCGCCCCACTTCTTTTAATAGTATTTTCTTTATTTATTCCCCTCTTTCTCCATCAAATGTATTTTTTTAGAAACCATGAGGATGTAATTTGGATGTTATAGAGATAAGACATGAAAGTAAAGTATTTTTGAATAAAAATAGGAATATTCTTTGGTTATGTCACGATGCATGAAACATATTCTCCCACATGATTGCATTTACACCCGACCAACCTACAAAGTCTGACCGTCTTAATATCGTACTAATTAACTTTTCAGGATTAATTAAGTAAAAGTGTTAATTAGTTTCGAATTTGGAGCCTTGCTCAGAGGGTGAAAATTTATTTCAGTTTCCTGCAGGTAATACATATCATTAAGAAATTAATCTTTGAAACTCGTGAGATTTCAGCCATTGGCGGTGCCTTGAGCCACTAAACTTATGTATTGTATTCCTTAAAGGATAACCTTTTCCCAACTTAATACAATTTGCTTTTATAATTTAGAAAAATTAATCAAAATAGTCGTCCAACCAACTGCTTAAACTAAAAATAGCCGATGATGGTATAATGTATGTATAATTTAGGTATTATATGTGTATAAATATATAATTTATGTAAATGATTAAAAAAAGTAAACAAAAAATATGTAAAGATCATTACATATTGGAGATTATAATTTACCTCACTTTCACAATTAGAAATGGCGTGTCAGTTAAAATGATTTGTTTAATATAAAACAGTTGGTGCGGATAAGTATTCATTGTGTGTTGTGTGTACTTATATATCAATTTATTTGACATTTTCCTCCTCAAGAAGGCCGATAGATCAATAGCTAAATCAGATTGAAATATTTCTCTTAAATTTTGCTTTAACTATTCAAAAATTAATAGATATGTACAACATGTTGCAGTTTTATGCATATCAAATTGGAGGAAAATGTTTATTTTAAAATGTGAAAGAAAATTCACTTAATTAGACTCTTGAAAAGTGAAGAGTGAGTAGCCATTTCAGAATAGAGGTAAAGAGGAGCACGAATCGTTCTTTAGGACAACGCTCTTGGCCCATTTTTCGCTGGGTCGTATGGCTTATTTTGATGGGCCTGGATCTACATTACTGGGCTATTTTGGTAAAAATTGTGTGGGGTAGCCACTTTTTAAAGTGGTATTTACTTTTTATCCAACATTTTTAATGCTTAGCAATAGTAGCCACTAATTTATTTAAATTAATATGAAAAGACCGTGTTATCCTTTCTTCTATCTCTTTCATGTGCTAGGGAGAAGAACTGTTGTGAGACGGAAGGATTTTCCGGTGGGACTGTCGTGGACTCAACGTTTTTGAAACCTTTGAAAGATGCTGACATAATAATTTACATAATCATAAAAAGTAAGAATGTTCAGTAATTAAATACTAATCAATTAAAAAGAAAATTAATTAAATAAACTTGTGGGACAATAGTAACCCAAAGTTGTGGTGCATATATACAGTAGGAGTTCATTAGCTGGATGAGATTATTTTATTGATAGAAGCTGCAGCTACACTTGTAGAGGAGGGACCAACCCATATAAAAGTTCTTAAAAGACTTCCCACTTAGTTCGTACACACAGAGAAAGGATTTGAACATATAGTTATGGATCCTAAACTTACAATTGCAAGTTCAAAAGTCAAGGACACTTGGTCCTGAACTTCGAGTTCCAAGTTCAAAAGTTAAGGACACTTGGTCCTGAACTTCGAGTTCCAAGTTCAAAAGTTAAGGACACTTGGTCCTAAACTTAGAGTTACAAGTTCAAAAGTTAAGGACACTTGGTCTTGAACTTAGACTAACAAGCTCAAAAGTTAAGGACAATAGGTCCTGAACTTACAGTTACAAGTTCAAAAGTTAAGGACAATAAGTCCTGAAGTCCTGAACTTAGACTAACAAGCTCAAAAGTTAAGGATAATAGGTCCTGAACATATGATAAGAAGCCCAAAAGTTAAGGACAATAGGTCCTGAACTTACGGTTACAAGTTCAAAAGTTAAGGACATGTATTCCTGAAATTCTGAAGTTAAGTTCAAAAGTTAAGGATATGTAGTCTTGAAGTCCTGAACTTAGAGTTCCGAGTTCAAAAGTTAAGGACATGTAGTCCTGAAGTCCTGAACTTAGAGTTACAAGTTCAAAAGTTAAGGACATGTAGTCCTGAAGTTAAGTTCAAAAGTTAAGGACATGAGCAGAAGGGTATTTTTGTCCGGGTAGTTAAAGTTTATTAAAGCAGTGGCTAAAGATTAAAGACATTTTAAACAGTGGCTTAAAAGTAAATACATGTGTTATTAGTGGCTAACCGTGCACTTCCCCCGCTATTTTGTTGTTAGTTGAAAGGGGTATTTGTATTTATACCCGCTTTTTGTGTCACGTTTTAACTTGTGCCCGCTTTGCAAAAATTTTTTTGCAAGAGTACCCATTTTTTCGCATAACTTTAGCATATGGGGCTAAAGTAGCAAAGACAATCATGCAAAACTTCAACATTCTAGTAGCGGGCCTGAAGTAGCAAGTGTGCTGAAGTTTTTGTTTTTGTAACTGGCGAAGTTTTTGTTTTGTAACTGATGAACTTCAGCTTTAGAACTGAAGTTTAAAATGAACTAAATTCAATTTTTTCATCAATTCTTTTTCTGCTATCTAAACCTATGACGAGTTGCGGGGATCTGGCAAGACGTTACTCAAATCATGCACTTCAAAAATGATACCGCTATTGGTACGTACATGAATTACCTACTTCCCAAATTCAATTGTAGTTTGAATATTTCATCATTAAACTACTAATTATAAACATACAAACTCCAATTCGTGACTGTAGTGCCTCTTCCCCGAAACATGCAACAAAATATCAAGACATCATTTTTCATTGCGATGTCAGTATTTGACATAATTCAGGTAATTAGATAGATGTTTATCAATTGTTATCATTTTGTTTATACCAGCTCACGTAATTATTTATAATTTATTTTTAAACAGCAACAGAAGAAAGAAGAAAGAAGAAGAAGAAGAAGAAGAAGAAAGAAGAAAGAAGAAGAAGAAGAAGAAGAAGAAGAAGAAGAAGAAGAGGAGGAAGAAGAAGAAGAAAACGAAGGAGGAGAAGGAGGAGGAGAAAGATGGCTGAAATTATTTAAAAAGTGGGTACAAATTAAAAGTTTTAAAAAAAATAGGAATAGATTAAATGGGGCGACCAAATAGGACGCCCCGTGCAATTTTTACTAGTTGAACTGATCCAAGATCTTGAGCCCAATTCTCCTAGTCTAAGACCTTGGACGTGCAGATTTAGAAGAATACTGAAAGGGCAAGTTACATATTTCGCCGGCCAGCCAAAAATAATTATATCCGCTAGTCAAATATATACAAGTATGCAAAAAATATGTACATTATATTTTAATATACCAAATATATACATTTTACAGGCTATTAATTTTGGGAGTGGCTCATGGCTATACTGTGTAGTTTTTCAAATATTGAATACAGAGTAATAATTCGTAGGCGCAAATTAGTCAGCAATGTCAAAGTTAAAAGGAATCCTTACACAATTAGCTGGCCCGATTCACTGTTAATTCTTTAGCTGTAATACATCAATTATACACTAATTATACAACAAGATTATACATATATTGTGCATGAATTATACATATATTATATATCCAAAAACTCTTTCCAATTTAAACGATTGCGTGGCTCAATTCTACAAGTTATAAACCCTTGATAGAATAATTCCAAACACGTCCTATACAAGATTTTCACTAACATATGATCCAGTCTTGTGCAATCTCATCCTTGCATAGTCTAATTTTTTAGAGTGATATTTAGCCCATAAGTGCCAGACGTTTACTTGCTGGTTGAAGAGTAAGTGCCTTTTTTTGGTCTTCAATTTCCATTTTGTTGTTGAGTAAAGAACTTCCAATACTTCAAAAAGTGTTTTCTTTTCCATTGAAATACCTAATAAAGACATGGGCCAAACGTTGAAAACTCTTTTTTCTGCCAAATCTGGATTAAATCTAGTAGATTCTAAAAAATGGGCATCAATGTGTGGGATAGGTTGCTTTTATTTCCCCATCTTAAGCACCCTTCTTATTTGGTCCTGATGTCTTACAGGAATCAGGTTTCTTCAAATTCCAGAATATGTTACTTGCACGGACCTTTTAAAAGGAGTATTTTCGGAACCTAAACTCAAAAATTATTTGTTCTTCACGTGACATGATTCCTGGTATTTTTCTCCTTTTTTCCAAAATGTGTCAAAGTTCAAACTATACCATTTAGAAATTAGTGGGTCCTTACAAGTCAAGTCTTCTTTCAAAATTTCAAAAATTATGATCGACGTCAGCCGCTGGATGCCATAGATTTGGAATAATTAGACTGATAGGTAATTAGGAATAAAATAACAAGACATCCCATGACTTCGGGACCAATTTGACAATTTACTTTATGAAAAGGATGGATAAGATTTTCGGCATAGAAATGGCTATTCATATTTATGCTTTAATTTTATTCTCTCTGCAACCTTTGCTAGGCTTGATGATCTGATAGGAGATAATGTTACTCCTCTATCTTCTTATGATGTCCTGATATATACATCATTTCAATAGGACAACGTTGTAAAAGGACATTATCTGCAGTGGGCAAGTGAAAAGCAAAATCTCATCCTATAACATTATTTTTCTTGACGTCGAATCAAGCCGTATCTTATATGGTTTAATTGAAATGTCAAATTGGTTCCCAGTGTATGCAAAAGGCTGTGAGTATATTCCTATACTACCTCTCATTCTTATTTGGTCCCCAGTGTAGAATCATTTTCGATGTCCTGCATTTTCGCAATGACAAATCAAAACAAACTGAATCACCGGTCAGTTAAAAGTAGAGAATTTCACCAACCTGTTCTATTCATGTCCAAATACCCATGGCATAAGCTAAACTAACTTCACGTTAACACTTGACATCGGCCGCCTTACCACAGGAAAGATACAAAGTTTAGTGACGACTGATCACACGCCATCCAAACTCCTTGGCTCCAATTTTCTACAAGCCGAAAGAAGCCAAAATGTTACTGCTGCGTAATTTGTCTGATTGTTATCATAATCACCTACTACAAATAACCCCTTTCTCTACATATGCTTTCAGTAAAATCTAATGCATACTACTTGGTGAAGCAAATTTGAACTTGGATAGGCTGTTTGGTACTCACTTACAACAAGAAAAAAGACATTAATGTTGTCCCCAACAACCATTGCAGCTTTGGTTGGCAATTGAAATTTGAAAAGCTTGTTTCATTTTTAGCTGCAGCAGCTGGTGTTACTGGAGAAATGCTTGGTTCAGGCAGCTCACATATCCCGTAAGTCATGTGCTCCTGCAAATTGAATTAACGACGTGGGGGTCACAAAATTCCATATTTTGAATCCTAAAATTACTATTAATGGCTTCGAAATGGACTAGTGGAAACGAAGATAGTTTAATAGGTCATTTGAACCTTGCAAGAGGCAATGTTTGTACATCCGCAGACTAAATGTCCATTTGCCACATCTACAGCTTCAGGGGCTCCACCTCCATCACTTCTCTGCGAAGTCCACATTCAGTGAAGTTAGTAGAAGAGAAAAAAAGGCTTATTACAACTAATTTCACAGATCAGTCAGTTCAAACAACAAGCATACCTTGTAAAAATCAACAGCAATGAAGTTAGGCCACCTCTTACCAGCAGCTTCATGGCATGTGTTCATCATGTCAATAAGTGGTGCTGAATTATGCTTGCAAGCTTGAGCAAAATCCGGGGCATCAGGAAAGTAGTTCATAAGGACTAAGGACTTCGTCTTATTGTCCATAGCAGATGATTCTGCACGATTTGGACAAGAACCAGGTTTCATGCCACCATTTCCATCTGCAAATCCAATGCACTTGTACTTGATTATGTTTATCAATTTTTTCTCCCAAAGAATTTAGTAGAAAAGATAAGAAAAAGAGCTCGCATTTGTTTTAAAGATAAGCTAAAAATGAACTCACATTGGTTTTCTACCAAGTATCTCCACTCATAAGCAATGCCTTCTGAAGGTTCTTTGGCAGACTTAGATGTGAAGACAACCAATCGCTGATTGCGCTGGACCATATCATCTACAGTTGGCCATTCTCCACCATTTTTAGGCATCCTAGAAACTGGAAACCAGAATTTTCTAAGCCCAGCCGCATCAAACACCTTTGTTAGGCCATTGGGAGATCTAACATAGTCCTCAATTATGACTGTAACAATATCAGAAGGGTTTGCTTCAAGAAATACTCCTATCTCCCTCAAGACATTGATTGCAGGTTGCTGACAGAAAATTTCCACATCAGCTTCGAAAGCAAACAACTTTAACTGATAAGAAGCTAGAATTTTGCAGATCAATGAGAAGATAATCAATTCTTCTCCAATTTCCATCAAAATTTTCATGAATATTACTGAAATTACATGTAAAAGAGGGACAAATAAGTTATATCCACTCCTCCACAAAGCTTCCAAGGACGAGAATGGCTTTTATGCCAAAAGTATGAACAACTGCATACCCGTAAACGTGCCAAATGTATGGAAGTTATTTAGTGATACATCAACTGGTTCATGAGAACTTACAAAAGCTGTATAGTTGTAGCATTTCCCTCCATATGAGTGACATAGCCAGATGTCATTATTGAAGTCATACATATCAAGCATTAAACCTCTAACACCATTCTGTGCCAATTCATGTGAAAAGAAGCTCATCAGCAGCCACATATACTATTTGAAAACCCGTCAGAGCTAGCAGTTCATGTCTTCTAAATCACAAATTTCAAACATTTTAATAGAGAAATACATAGTAGGAAAAGTAGATATTGCAGACACTAGTGTTTTACATTTTCTCTGCGACAGCCAATTTCACCAAAATGTCATGGCACTTTAGACACGTTTAGCGTTCATATGAGTCAACACTAAGAATCAAATTAAGTGAAAAATAAATGGACTGAAGCAGAAAGAATCAAGTCAAGTCAATATTTAAGTGTTGGAGAAATGTAGGATTGGCAGTCTTTGTTCGATCCCTGGATATTACCACCAATTCAACTTCAAAGTAAAGTGTATTTTGAGAACAATGGTAACAGGTAAGTGCTGAGAGCTTAAATGTTAAAATTGTGGTACCCACTACGGGTATGAATAGGTGAAGATTATATCCAAGAAAATTCAAATGTTCATAGTTCTAAGTTACTTTGTATGTAAAAATCCTATTGCCTTATTTGTATTTAAATATATCTTTGTAGGTATAATGATTCTTTTCTATTTATCTATCTGCACTTAGCGACAGTTTTAGGAAAAAACAGAAGGCGAGGATGAAATTTTTGTTGAAGTTTGGCAAAATGCCAAAGTCCCACATTGGTTGGGAGTTAAGTTTGGGGGG